TGGCTGGCGGAGGCGCGGGGGCTGCTTGGGAGGCTGCGGCTCTCTGCTCCCCGGGTGCTTTGGCCCGAGAGCCTAGAGGAGCCAGATGTGCGGTGGGGGGAACTGGGGCTGCCCCTTCCCTCCCCATCCCTGCCGCGAGTTGCCCATCTCGGAGTCCGGCCGGTGTTGGATTCCCCCGCAATGTGGAGCTCCGCGGGCAGCGGGAGGTGGGGAAGGGTGTCCCCTCCCCTGGGTGCGTGGGAAGCCTGGGGCACGCCCAGCCCTTCTCTTACCTGGGAAGCAGAGCGGCAGCAGGAGGAGGACTCTCAGCTCCATGGCCATCCTCAGGCCCAGGGAAGGGGCATTGCTGGGGGCTGCCCAACGCGTCCCGCTCAAAAGCGTCTGCCTCGTGAGCCCTCCTGCATCACAGTGACGCTGCTGGAGGAAGTGCCCGAGGTCTTGCTGTCCCACGGAAATCCTTCACCACGTTTTGCAACACGACTGATATGAAGATAATTTCAGGGTGCATTTGGGGAAGCGGCTGAGGGCAGAGCTCGGCCCGTCCTGATGGCAAAGGCCCTTTGCTGCTCTCACCTGGCCGCTGTCACGCTGTGCCCTCAGGCCAGCGGGGCGCTCCTTTGGCTGTCCCGAGCCACGGGAGATGGAGCAGGACCTTTGCGCTGGCCTAGCCTTCTCTCTGGGCTCCCAAGGTGTCCCCTCCCCAGCCCCTCGCTGCAAAGTCTCCTCAAAGCCAGGGTGGCGATGCGTCCAGGGCTGTGTCCGCACAGACCCTCCCGCGGGCCGGGCCGTTTGTGATGCCCGACCTCCACCACCCCAGCCGGTCCCCTTGTGCCCTGTGCTCTGTTGTGGCGCATCGTGGTGCCTACCCGCAGCGTGCCCAGCTGGAGAAACCAGACCAGAACCTTTTGGGTGTTGCACATCACACAGTTGTGTCTCCACAGGTGCAACTGAAGTGATTTTAAGTATAGGAGAAACAATGCAAATATTGAAATAATCCATTGAAAGCAGCTCCTGACTTTACTGACCCTTGACTTACTGTGAAAACAGACAGCTAAACACAGCGTCCTGGCTCTCCATGTCCTTTTGGTCCCCAGCGTGATTCAGGGACTGGAGATGAGGGGGTGAGGGAACTGGGAGTCAGGAGCAGCCTAGTAGGTAAAATGAACTGCGGAGTACAGAGAGCAGAGAATGGCTGGAGCAGGTGGGGCAGCAAGCCTAGGAAGTGAGTTCTGCAACTCAGAAAGGAGTTTCTCCAATTTTAAAAAAAAAAAAAAAAAAAAAAAAGATACTCACCTATGAAAACAGCCAGCTTAATTTCCTTTATTGGGAAGAGGTGAGAGTCATCATTAAGAGCACACCAGTACGCCCCAGTGTCTTGTACTGTGAGCTTCTCTGTGGTAATGCTGAGAACTCCCCTCTGGGTGTCATCATTTCTGCTGCATCTTCTTTTCTGAGGGCTATTCTCATTCTGCCTGCCCGTCTGTTCTGTCCTGACCGGGACAGCTCGCTCTTCCCTGATCGTCCCTTTGCACTGGGCTTTCCGCACAGCCTCGTCATCTCGCACGTTGTACGGGCGCTCAGCAGAGAGGCTGCATCTCCCTAGCTCCGTATCCTCGGCTTTCTGGAAAGGGTCAAACTGGTTAGTAAAGTCCAGACAAAATGTCCAATTACATCGGTTTCCCACAATTAGAATAAGCACAATACTGTAATCCGATTCACAAGCATTTTAGCTACAGGAGGGTCAAATTGAACTGGGATGCTGAATAAAAAATAAATATCCAAAATATTCTGTCCTTCTGAAGAAATTTTAGAATAATATAATCATGTCCCCAAACAAAGCAAAGCTTGTAACAGAAACATCAGGAGTCTTTGCTCCGAATTTGTCAGCTGAGTTGGTGATCAGAGAAAAACAGCCAAGACAGAGAAGATCTGAGGCACCTTATGTACAAGAAATTACTGAAACAACTTTTTGCCTGGAAAGGAGATGACAGCAGTGATATTACAAAAGTCTCTCAACTCAGGAATAGCAGGGAGAGAGAGAAAGGGAGCAATAATTCACTGTCTGTTCTAAGACGCAAGTCACTAGTTAGGAGACAAGGAGAAAAGGAAATTCTCCACGCGTGCATTGAGTGTGGAGTTCACTACCACAGCTTGTTCATACACCAAAAGTTTTTATGTGTCAGCAGACGGAGTAGATGAATTAAAGAGGAAAAAAGAATTTAGCCATTGCTATTATAACAAAAAAATCCTCTCCAGAAAATCACTGGAGGCTGGGAGAGTATTCTGGAGAGCTGTTCCTATGTGCTTCTCTGGTTTTATACTCCTTCCTAATTACCTGCTTCAGCCAGTGTTGGAGACCTTTGGTCTGACCTACTACGGCTATTCGTACGATTCCTCAGTAACCTGGGAGAAGGTAATCCTAACCACTGAAAAGCTAAGCAGAGAAAGTGAGGCAGAAATCTACAAAATGCCCCACACTTTCCTTGAAAAGAAATACTCCCTCTTGGAAACAGACAGCTTAATCTCAATTATTTGGGTAAAATGAGAACGCATGCAGCGTGCACACCAGTACACTCCTGAGTCTTCAACTTGCGGCTTCCGCGTTGTGACAGTGATTGTCCCCTTCTGGTTGCCATCAAGCATAGTGCTTCTCTCCGAATGAACCTTGTTTGGGTATGCTGGTAGGTGGTAATCGGTGCTGACCACGATATCCCATTTATCTTTATCTTTCCTTCAGCACCAGGCTTTCCCTGTAGCGTTGTAGTTCTGGACGTTACAGGGACATAAAATAGAGAGGCTCTTCAGCTCCCCAGCAGAGTGGTATTGGACAACTGCAGAACATACGAACCACTGTATAAATCCCAGCTAAGAGCCACGATGACACATCTATGAATGACATATCCACTCTGGGATAAAGCCTTTACAGGTGAAATCCAGAGCCTGGCTTCAGCTGGGACCTCGGTCCTGCGTACCTCACACACCGCTTGCTCTCTGCTTCTCCCACAACAACTTATTTTCCCACAGTGCCCCAAGTTCTGACAGGACGAAGCTGCTGGATTTAGGTATAGGAGCAACTTTAAGATACAAGCGCTCTATCTCTCCTTTCCTGTTACCACCATCACAGCAGAGCTGGGAGAAACTCATCAGTGTTCACAGCTGAGCAGCCTCAGCCCATTACCAAATGAGCTGGTATAAAACCGCTGATAGAGGAAGTCATTCCTTTCTTCAGACTTTGTGGAAGAATCTAGCAAGCTAGGAGCTGCTGAGTAAATTCTTAGGCTGTCTTATCTCAGGTTGTGGGGGGACAAAAAAGCCTTTTGCAAAAATATTTGAAAGAACATAAAATTGAGGTAAGCCTTAAAATAGCTTGTCCTTTTTTTACAGAAATGGAGAAAAAGGAGAGTAACGTAACAAATTTTAATAGCATTTTGTTTGAATTCTTGGTCTGAGGAGTGTGTGATCCAGCAATAAGGTAACAAAAGGCTGGGGAGAAGGGGAGTCTGGGGAACATTCAGATGCTTCCTCCAGGTTTCATGGTTATTTGTCATATGCGTAGTTTTTTACAGACATTATTTTTGTGCTATTTTCCTGTTCATCAGTACAAACCTTGCAGTAAAAAAGACAAAACAAGGGTAAGGAAACGGACTGTAAGAGAGCGGGCGGCAGAGCATTGGCAGTGTTTCTCGTGGCGTGGGTCTGTCCGTGCCCTGCACAGTGTCACGAGTTGTGCCAGAGGATGAAGCGCCAGGTGGGCAGAGGGGATGCTCTTGTGTCAGTGCTGGCTTACGAACGTTTCCTTGTTCAAGAGGCTGTGACGTGCTCATACCCATATTTTCAAAATTTCCAGTACTTGGTTCTCTCCACAGAAAAAGAAGGGAAGGAATGTTGTATTTCAGCATCCCTCTGCATTGCTAATAGGAAAATGGGGCCTTTTCCTTATTCCAAATTCATTTTTTACTGTATTGTAAAGGATAATACAAATTTACTTTAAGTAAAAAATTTGATCATTCACAGAAGGCAAATATATTTTTGGGTTAAAAATCACAAATTTGCCCTAAAGTACAGTTTTCCTCAACCAAAGCTTGCTGACTGTCTATGAGGATCTGGTGTAGAAACTGTTTGTTGTCTTGTAGTGTTGGGGGATTCCTTGGTTTTAGTCTGTCCTGCTTGAGAGCGTGAGTCAGAAACAGTCCCTTAAAAAATGAAGAAATCGTGCGGTGTGGCTTGGTGCCGGCTCCGCTGTAGCTCTGCACAAGCTCTTGTGATGGCTGGAGGTGTGTATCGGGGAGAAAGGGAGGGATCAGGTGGGAAACCGTGGTCGTCAAAAGGTGAGGAGATTCTCCAGCTTAGTACTGTGCTCAGGGACAGATCTTTTCATACCTATTCAAGCTTTGTGTCTAGAGATACAGTGAGCACAAATATATAGGGAATTATGTTCCCTCTATGGAATAGTTAACAGGCCTGAGCTGGCTCTGCGGAGGCTTCAAAAGACCGAGTATATAAAAGGTTTGGTAAGGGAACAGAAGACTCTGTCAGTCGTGTGTGATAGTAAATCTGCGCTGGTCGTTCCTGGGGGCTGCTGAAATAGTATTACGCTGCTGTCGTTTGGATGATCCCAGCTCCAAAATTATTAGCAAGTCTTTTATGTACATTTGTTTCCTTGCTGCCTCCCAAAGACTCTCCTTTTCCTTGACAGAGGTTTTCAGAGGGATCCTTCCCTTCAGAGTTGCTTTTTGTGCCGCATCAAAGGTGCGGGGCTCTGCACTCAGCCTGGTGTGCCACAGTACCTGGGATTCTGCATCTTAATAATCGACTCCTAAGACGCATTTAACAGCCACAAAACAAATGCTTGAAGGCCTTCCTGTCAATCCTAACATTGCACATGCAGAGAAGGAAGCGGTGCCAGGACAGTTGTCCCTTGAGCCAGTGACCACGTGTCCTTTCAGGGAGCGGCGGAGCTGGGCCAGGCAGTGCCAGGGGAGGTGCTGTCTGCACGACACCCTTATACCTGTTTCTGAAGAGGAAACTGTGCCCAGAGTGGCACGGCTTATGGTCCTGGAGAAGCCAGAATCTCCAGGTAACAGGAACCAGAGCTGGTCCGTCTCCTTTCGTAGCAGTGCAGAGAATTTCTCCATCTGAAAAGAAACTTGCTCTGGTGGTAGAAACTTTTGGAAAATTCCTTTCCTAACGCTGGAATATCACTCATTGTACAGGACCTTAGACAAATGCAAGAGAAACACTGTGCCCAAGCTCCCCTTGCCTCTGGTACTGCCTCACCCCTTCTCTTACCTGAAAAACAGAAGAGCAGAGGCAGGAGGACTCTGCTCCATGCCTGTCTTGGAGCCAAGAGAAAGGGCACCACTGGAGGCAGATCAGAAGATCAGTAGATGTCTTCTCTCTGTACCCTCCTCTCCCACACTGGTACTGCTGGAGGATGTGCCTGCGCTTAGTGGCTTACTGCTTGGCACAGAAATCCTTCACTGCTGTTTTGCAACCAAATTCGTGCTTCAATAATTGAATTGTCCATATCAACAGAGCTTGGCTGCTTCAGAAGACACAGATGTATTAGGCAGAATTCGAGGAGAAGCTGTTTTCTTCTCCCCCTTGCATCAACAGAAGCCACACTTCTCCATCTTGGTACACTCTCAGTGTTGTCCCTGAAAGACCCCTCGACACTCCCACTAGCAACATCATTAAAATTGGCCAGCCCTTGGCCTCAGGAAAATGGAGAAATGTTTCAGTTTTTTAGAGGCACGTGAACTTCCACGTGGCTGATTCTGAGCCTGGGTGCCTCGCAGGCCTGGGTTCCACCCCAGTGGAGGTGAGGGAAGGAGAAAGACCTGGGGTGGTGCAATGCCACATCCCTGTATTTGTGCACCCGCTGGGCAGAGCTAACGGAGGGAATGGGCAATGGCTTCTGTAGCTTTTCCCCTCCTTTCCCTTGGCCTCCCCAAGGAACTCTGCCTCCTGGAAACCAGGATGAAGCCAGCTCTCCTCAAGGTGAGCAAAGCCACCTGTGGAAACCTCCAGTTCAATCACCAAGCCACAATGCGTGCATCGTAGCCACAACCAGAGTCTTCTTTTAGGGATGGCTGGCACAGCTCTGGGGTGGGCTCACTCATGGCTCTTCCACAGCTGGCTCTAACTTAAAGGGCCGCTTTGGAAAGCACAAGTGGTGGCAGGTCGTCTTTGTCTTGACTCCATGCTTTCTTGGCCTTACCCTTGTTACAGCTCCAGGATGCTGGAGAAGGACTGTCCTTCCACGCTGCTCCCAGATGCCTCGTGCTTGCCGTACGGGGAAACATGTCCCTAGGCAGCAGGGCTGGGCAGAGTCCCTTCTGCCTCCCTTTGAAATCCCTGTGCCCTTCTCTGCCCTTCAAGGCAGTGACAGTGAAGAAGTATAACAGTAGTAAATTCCTCTGCCTCCCCACCAGCCGATGTGCTCGCAGGGGTCTCCCCTGGGCCAGTACCTAGCTGCCTCGCTCCACCAGAGCAGTGCAGAAAGACTGTAGTGACACCCTTGCTGGAAATAATTTCCAATTATATGAATAAGCAGCTTATTAACAGTACATTCTGGCTAATCATTTTGTGCTAGATATCTTCGCATTGTCTTGTCCCCAAATCCCTCTCTCATCAGGCGCTTGATGCTCAATAACAAGAAGGGGGAATGCACTCGTTCTCTTATGAACAAGTCCCAAGAGTCCGCAATTAGTTCAGTTTCTGCAACTGGTTGCCTACAAACCGAGCCAAGAACTGCGCTCCATTGCAATGCCTCGTCCTTTCCCACAGCGTCTGCATTCGCCATGTCCACTGGAGGTCCTGTCTTTGAGGAGAGAAGCTCTCTGGGCAGGACAGGTCATGGAGATGTCCGTCCAGGGGCTAGTGTGTTGGTCACTAAGGAACAGCAAGGAGGTAATGAAGTTGGTCCTTTTGCTGCATCTCTGACAGAGGATCAATGTGGCTTTTAATTACAGCATCACAGAAAACAAGATGAATGTTATCTCAGGAGGTCACTTAATCTCGCCCCGTGACACGCAGTAGGATCAGCTCTTTCGACGTAATTTCTAAAGATCTCTGTTGCACTAGTTTAGGTTGCAGCCCTCTCCCGGTGACCTGTTCCAGTGCCGCACCATCCTTGTTTGAAGGCTTCTCCTAACATCTGACATCCCAGCTATTTAAAGGCCTCGCTCCCTGTTGTGTCCGCTCTGAACCCGGAGAACAGATTACTCCCTTTCCCTTGCTTTGGATGCAGTGACGCCTGCCATGCCTCCCCTCAGTCCTTCCACTCCAGACTAACCATCCCCAAGGCTTTTACTTTTCCCTCCTAGGTTGTGTTTCTGACAGCTTGGATCATTTTTTCCCTTTTCTCTGAACTCTCTCATCAAGCCACCTCTTTTCTGCCTATCTGCTTGGAGTCCCCAAAGCCCCCTGAAGTTTCTTTTGAGCTTTTCATCCAATCAAGGATGAAACCATACGTTCTCTGTTGCCTTCCATAGAAATTCTTGCTTCCCATTGACGTACTCTCACTACCGTGAAATCCACAGAAACCTCTTTGGATTAAACACCTCTTAAAATGCCAGCGGCCTTACGGAGACTTCCCCGCTCCGGGTTTGCCTGCGCCGCACGCTGGCCCTGGCTGAGCA